TTTTTGTGAAGGTGTCAGATGAAACGGTTCGTTTGTCGAGTTTACGAGAAGACGACGGCGAATTCTTTTTGTTCTGCCGCTGCCTAATCAGACTTAAACGCAGTCCACGAGACATTCTCTCTCGGTCGCGGTGGCGACGGGCTCATCTTTCGTCCGTCCTGCCGGCTAAAATGTAAAACTTAAAGAAAAATATTTCCTTTAGCGGTGAATTCGATGAATGCTTGGCCTCTTTTTCACCCAAACCGAAAGAGAATGTCTCATGGACTGCGTCAAACCGAATACCATAGTAACCTGAAATGACTGCGAATCAAATGGAATCCGCTATCATCGTTCATCAACCACAACATTGCGACTCCATTCGGACTGAAAGAATGGTTGACTGTCCCCGGGAAAATAAAGTGAAGCTGAGCTGCTCGGCTCATGACGGTCTCCCGAGCTCAAACCGACTTGGTGCCATCGGTTTTGACGGCCCATCCAATCAACCGAGACCTCTTAAACCATGGGCAAGAGGAGAGGCCTCCTCTTCGCATGTTCGCCTACTTGTCTCACAGCCAGCCTCTTTGGTACCGGACGCAACGGTGGCACCGGACATTCGCCAGCTCAGCGTGTAAGTGTGTTCGCAGGTGGCGTCAAGTTGGGCCCATGAGACGACGGCTGAGTTGCCGGACAGACCTTTGGCGACAAAGCTGGCAGCGTCGGCCACTTCGCTGGCTGAAGGGGGACACATCGAAGCAGATGGAAGACGTGAATGCGCCATGCAAAAAAGAAAATAATGCTGGTCAAATAGTGTACATAGCCAAGGTCATAGCGATGCTGCTCTTAACACTAGTTGCCATGACAACGAAATGGGACAAATAAAAGTTGAGTGAAAATGGGTGCTGAGAAAAAAAAACATCCATAAACCTAAAGACAATAAAAAATAAGCAACAGAGCTCCCATAAGTTCTTACGAAAATAGCATTTTACATATTTTTCCCCTCCTCCTCCGCTACTCATAATGTCACCAGCTCTGATAAAAAGACTACACTTACCAATACCGTGGCATAACAATCGAATAAACCCCAGGGTTGGTTTACCCAGCAGAAAAAAATCAAACATCAGGAGATGTTTTTTTTGTTGAAAGTGCCACCAACTTCTTTAGATCACAAAAACCAGTAACGAAAATCGTAATAAAACAAGGGCTCGAGTCCCGTTTAGGGTGCTGCTCAGACGGGGTCCAGGCCAGGTCAAAACTGCAGATCAAACCAGTCCAGCCTGACTGAGAAGAGCTTCTGGAAAGTGTGAGTGAGTGAAATTCGGTGACATAATGAGGCCTATTTTTCGTATTTGAGTGGAGTTTCGATACTACCAGTAAATCAGTAGTATGACATGTATTCACCCTATTTCGTTTAAGCTGATGAAGGACTGGTAGTAGAATTTTCCCACAATCATATGAATAGAGCCTGTTCATAGTAGCCTCTGCGTATTCAACTGTCTGTCCCTCAACACTTCTTTATAACAAGTAAAGTTTTGCTTCCAGGAGGTCTGTCAGAGCGTTCATTTAAACGTTGCATACGTTGTGAGTTTATGTCGATCTCTTGCCGGCCAAACGGCTGAGGTTGACAACGGGATTCAACCGCCCTCTTCTGGTGAGATCGAGCTACGATTCTATTCTTCATACACTTTCATCTGAAATGAAAGTCTGTCCAACAATTGTTATTTTTCTCTTCTAAGCAGGCTTTCGGGACTACCAATATCTCATTTATATGAAATATGTTCACCCTATTTCATTTGAGGTGGTAAGAGGTATGGTAGTTGAATTTTCCCACAATCAGTTGAGTAGACCATAAGTTTCCATTAAAATGCACACAGCCTTGCTTTTCCAAAAGATATTCTCATCCCGGCTGGAGATGATTTTAGCTTTGAATTCACCTGAATTGGTCTCATCAGCACCCCCTACAGGACTCGAACCCGGGTCGTGGTAGTGCGGCGTAAAATCTCGACACTGCACAACGTAGCCATGAGTGGTGTTGGGTCACAGGGCAGATGTGATTTCCAAGGAGGGCCAAACATTTTAGCATATCACATTCTGTTGTGGGATCATTGATGAAACAAAGTTGTATGTGCTATAGCAATCGACTACATTACTTATTTTTCATTTATAAGAAGGTTTTCAAGACCTAAGCGAGATAGAAATTGCAATGGAAACATATGGTCTACTCAACTTCAAACGAAATAGGGGGAATATATCTCATATAAAGTTTTTATTCATAATCTATTGATAAATTTGAGGCGTAATGACTACTTTTATATAAACGTTGCTGAGCTCTGCCTTATAAAGGCGAGTCTCACTATACAAACGTAATTTTGACGGGTCCTGGATGTGTGGATGCGAAGGGAAATTAGATTTCACGTTATTGTGCCACTCGTTTAATTTGAAAAAATGTGTGAATGGAATTCTTAAATTGGCGGCACCGGAAACGTAGCAAGAATATCGTCTTCCAGTTGTGACAGTGGATCTGTGCGAAGAAGTCTGCAACATACCGAAATCCGCTTCCGAATGAATTCTCTACACCATCCTGCCACCCAGAGCTAACCATTCGTGTCGAGATTTCGTTTGTCTATTCGTGATAGACGTCTTTAGAGCCCAAAGCAAATGTTTAGCATTCACCGTCAAGACGCCAAATAAAATAATTTTCAGTAAGAATTTTTGTCCATTTAATTGTTGTAAATTAGAATTTCAGATCGAAGTAAATATGTTGAGGGACGTAGGCAAGCTGATAAGGATGTCGGAGAGTATAAGAAAACAATAATTATTATTTATTAATAACTCAGATCACCCTAGGTCGTACAAAGTGAGAAAGGATCATAAGAGCAGGTCTCAGGTTTCGGGTGAAATTCGCTCAATTCTGCTTATTCGAAGATATTCCTATTCAGGCTGGACTACAGTTTCGGCGCCAACAGAACCCTTCACGACAATCGAACCTGTCCACCCTGACGGCAAATCTCTTCTGGAAAGTAAGGTTTAGTGAAATTCAATGAAAATGCAAAGCCTAATCATATAATTTTGTGGATATTCAAGTATTAGGCCTTCATCAGTTTATGCGAGCTCTTATTCGAGCTCGACGGATAGTGTCAAAACCTTCTCGTTTGAAATATAAATTATTATTATTTTCAGTTTGACCTCATTTTCTCAACTTTGTCCGTACGTAAGGGAGGAGTTGCACAAACATCCCCATTACTGCACCCTCTGGCATTGTAGTCATGACGATTTCCGGCAGCAGACCGTTGAATGGGTACCTTCCCGGACGTTTGTCCGGCATCGTGGACGGCCTCGCCAGCGTAAGTCGCCACATCAATTATCACCAGTTCCTTTTCACTTTTACAGGTTGTAACTATGTGCTAACGATGCCAAGTAAGATGCCAACGAGACGTCTATGAACGTACAATGTCAACGGCCTGATGCCAAAAATCATCATGACTACCATGCCAGAGGACGTGGGACTGAGGATGTCCATAAATGGTCTCTTTGTCGCGCCGACCGAATTGCGAAAAAAGGTCAAACCAACCCTTTTTGGCCTTGATTTGCACAACTTGGTCGGAACGACAGAGGGAACATGTACGAACATCCCCACTCCCATGTCCTCTGGCATGACAGTCATGACGATTTCCTGCATCTGATCGTTAATTTGGCATACTCCGTTGCTGGAAACTGTCATGCCTACTCTGGCAGAGGATGTAAAACTGGGTACGTTCCACATATCTGTATCATTTCTGTATCTGTATTTCTGTATCTGTATTTCTGTATCTGTATTTCTGTATCTGTATTTCTGTATCTGTATTTCTGTATCTGTATTTCTGTATCTGAATTTCTGTATATGTATTTCTGTATCTGTATTTCTGTATCTGTATTTCTGTATCTGTATTTCTGTATCTGTATTTCTGTATCTGTATTTCTGTATCTTTATTTTTGTATCCTCGAACAAGTTGGACAAACGAAATCAAATCAACACTATACAGCCAAAGTAGACCCTGTATCTCTTTCTGCCTAACTGCAAATAATAACATATTAAGACAAGTTTAGTTTTGAACAATCCCTTGGTAGATTGATGCTGGCATACCTTTGCTTTCGTTTGAAAGGTCTCACCACCCTGCAACCCTGATCCATTCGTGCCAAACTTCAATCGCCAGATCCAGAAACGAAAAATTAAGTAAACACAAAACCAAGAAAGGTGGCCGGCTGACTTCTTTTATACCTAACTTTGCGATCTTATTGAGACATTCCATGATTTGGCTGGCTGCTTTATGCTTGTCCTACATGCATGTATGCATCTAGAGGAAGAAGACTTGATAAACCTGGAGTAGGGTTTGAACTTGAAATTACCAAATGGTCTATGAATAGTGCATACACACAAAGCACACGCACCAACAAAACTTAAAAATATGAGGCGTATTCACCTAATTTCGTTTAAGGTGATGAAGGACTGGTAGAAGAAGAATTTTCCAACAATCATATGAGTTGAGCTGAAATTCAATGGAAACGTTAGCTCAACTCATATCATTGTGGGAAAATTCTTCTTCTACCAGTCCTTTATTACTATAAACGAAATTGGGTGAATGCATCTCATATTACTGATTTACTGGTAGTCACGACAACAATGCTTAATTCGAAAAATAAAAATAA